GGCGGAGGCTGTCCCCTGCAGGGGTGTGTGTGTGTGTGTGTGTGAGGGCAGAGGCTGTCCCTGCAGGGGTGTGTGTGTGTGTGTGTGTGTGAGGGCGGAGGCTGTCCCTGCTGTGTGTGTGTGTGTGTGTGCGCGCGCGGAGGCTGTCCCTGCAGCGGGTGGAGGGGGAGGATGAGGGTGGAGGCTGTCTCTCCTCCGAGGATACATTGCAGCTGACAGTGAGCTAAAAACAGCGGTGTAGTCATTGGCTGTCTAATATGAGCCTTCAGCGATGTCCCCACAGTTCTTTTTAGCACATTAGCACAAGTCTGCCTACCCAGGCTGGGAGGCGTGTTCCCAGATGCAGTGTAGATGCTCCCTGCACAGAGTTTCCTGGTTCCAGAGGCTGTTGCATGGACACAGGCTGGCCGAGCCCAGGACTGGGGAGTGCTGGGGGTGTCCTCACCAAACTGAGGGAAATTTAACACTGCTGGAGATGAGCCCCCACCTCCCTGCACAAAGCAGTGGCAGGAAGTGGTTTAGAAACACATGTCCTCACAAATCCCAGTGTCCCCCCATAAATTCCCAGCAAGTGGCTAGCTTCCCCCCCCCCCTCGTGACTCCCAGCACATGGGCCAGGCCTTCGTATTCACAGACCCCACGAGTCACCTCTTCAGGTGCAGGAAGTTTATTAGATGCCAGCAGGTGCTCAGGGGTCTGGATGCTCCAGGTCTCACAGAGGGGTGCAGGGGAGTTGGGAAGGAGGGTCTGGGGGGCCTGTGTTCCCAGACATCACAGAGGGCCGTAGTCCTGGCGGGGCAGAATCATGTGGGAGAGCCATAGATCAGAGGAGCTGTAGATGGGGGGGATTGTGACTCCCAGGTTTGTCCCCTTCTCACCCCCTCTCTGCTGGGGCTCAGTGCAGGTCTGCGATGTGGAGATTCCCTCCCACGCCAGCCACAGCCACCACCCGCCCACCGGGTGCTACTGCCACAGCCTGCACCGGTTTGTTGGGCAGCAGGATCTCGCCGAGCACCTGGAGACAAAGAGCATGTCACCCAGGACTAAGCACCCTGCTGCCCTGGCTCACACCACCCAATCCCTGGCCTTCCTCTGCCCCACCCCTCCATTCTTGCTCACCTCCCCAACCTCCCTGCTGTCCTTGCTCACCCCACCCCTCCAACCACTCCCTCCCCTGCCCTCCTCACCTGGCTCATACCGCCCAGGGCCCCAAACATCCCCCATCCTGTTCCCTGGCTCACATTGACCCCCTGTCCCCAAGATGTAACCCAGTTCCATTAGCTCTCACTGTCACCCCCCAAGTGGGGAATGCCTACTCCCCCTTTACTCCCAAGCAGGGGTACACCGTCTCACCTGGTTAGTGCCAGTGTGGATGGCGCTGGCTCCACTGGTGCCGCTGCCCCCAGCCACCACTATGTCCTGGTCACAGAACCGGGCTGCGTAGAGGAACTGGCCCTGCGTGGGGCCCCCAGGAAAGGGGAGGTTCTTCTGCAGTTGGGATGTCCGTAGATCCCAGAGCTGAAGTGCATTGTGGGGCACCCAGGAGCCAGTGAGCACACGGTTACCCTGGGGGGAAAGGAGTCAGGCTCAGATATGGGGCTGTATCTCTCCCCCGGGGCACGCAGGAGCTGGTACCAGAGCATAGTTACCCTACGTGGGTAAAGGTTACTTCTCCAGTGGGGATAGGGTATTGGGGGGCAGGTGACCCTGGTCCCAGAGCTATTGGTTCAGGGTCAGCACAGACCAGCCCTCGCCAAGACTTTGCATGCCCACACGGTGTAACTCATGCCCCCTGTCACCTCCCACATCTCACCTGGATGTCGAGGCCTGGGCCACAGATGTGAGGCCCATTGATCACTCTCTGAGCCTCCTTTGCCATCCGCTTGTCCCAGATCTAGGCACAGATAAGAGACAGGTAACAATGGTAGCATCCAGAACCTCTCCCCATTAGCCAGAGGCCACAGACACAGCCCCCTCCCTTTCCTCCTGCTACCCCTCCATCCATACCCACCCATAATGCAGGGCCTGACCTTCACACAGTCATCCCAGCCAGCTGTCAGGAACATATGGCGCTCTCCAGGGTGAAAACGGAGGGCAAAGATGCGGCGCGAGTGCCCACTGCTTGGTGTCACATCACCAGTCATGAAGTCAGGAGCCTGCAGAATGTGGGACAGCTGTGGGGAAGGGAAGCAGAATCTGGGTCATGGGGTGATTGGGACACACAGCTGGGAGCAGGGGCAACACCCCCCCCCAACTCCAGGCATGGCTCTTCCCCAAGACAGAACACCCCATCCTTGCTGCCCACCCACACTCCAGATAGAGCCCTCCCCTAGGCACCACCCCTCCCCTCATACGTGCTGCCTGCACCCTTTTCTGGAATGCCCCTCTCCACTCACCTGGTTGGTGTGGCTGTCATAGAGCCGAATATGTCGGTCCTTGCCAGCTGTGGCATAGGTGCTGCCGTCCATGCAGAAATCCATGGCATTGATCTCATTCTCCTTCTCTGGGGTGGGACAGACATGGGGAGAGCAACCAGCAAGGGCTGTTACACCAGCAACAAGGACAAAGGTGAGGAAGGGATTCCCCCAGCTCACCAACCCCCCCACACCATAGGGCCAGGGCTCCTGGCCCTTTCCTTGGAGAAGAGATCCCTTGCAACCCTTCCCTTGGAGAGAAGAGGGAAAGGCCCACCTGCCAGGCACATGGTGACAAGGTACCCTATGGAATGTCTCCTGATACCTGTCACTGTTGCCAGCAGTGTCTCTGAGTCCATGCTGTAGAGAGAGATGATGCCATCAGCCCCCACAGCCAGGAGCAGGCTGGGTCTGCCCGGGTGGTAGGCCAAGGCAGTGATCGCGTGGCGCGTACGGTGTCCTCGGAAAAGGGACGAGTGCAGGGAGGCTGTGGCCACGTTCACAATCTGAGCGCGAGGGGGAAAACTGAGAATGGGATGGATGATGCGACAGGAACAGTGTTACATCCACCTCCGGTACCCCCTCCAACCCCATCCCGGTACCCACGTGGCCCAAATCCCCTTCCCCCAACTACCTTCCAACCCCCTCCCAGTACCCATGCAGCCCCGTTACCCTCCAACATCCCCTCTCCCCTGTTACCCTCCAGCCCCCTCCTGGTCCTCATGCAGCATTGTTACCCTCCAACCTCCCTTCCCCCCCGTACCTGCACAGCCCTGTTACCCTCCAACCTCCCTATCCCCCCCGGGACCCTATAACCCCCCCTCGGTACCCGCACAGCCCTGTTACCCTCCAACCTCCCCTCCCTAGACAAATTAGAGGATTGGGCCAAAAAAAAAAAAAACCCACCACCTGATGAGGTTCAACAAGGACAAGTGCAGAGTCCTGCACTTCGGGAGGAAGAAGCCCAGGCCTTGCTCCAGACTAGGGCCCGAAT